AAGACGACGAAGAACAGCTTCATTCAATACCGTAAAATCTATTACAGTAACAAATTCTCAGCATTAGTTGTGCAATGCTGCAAAAAAATTCTCTTTAACATACATTCGAATTGTATTTCTTCAAAAATACACTTTGTAAGTTTCATAAAGTTAGCATCTTCCACTCACCTTCATATGTGAAAGTTTTCTACTCGTTTAACTGATATAATAATTTTTTCAATCCATCATGTCGCAGAGTTACGAATTCCTATCTATTCACCTCTCTTTTTTCAGAAGATAAACAAAGAGGAATATATCTCAAGATCTATAGCGTTTTTACTTAAGTTTTTATTAATTCATATCACAATAATTGGGAAATCCTTTATAGCAATAGCATGTTATTGGAAAAAATTAGTATTTATAATTATCTAATTGAAATATTTCGGAATACGAAAGTTAACTGGGATATTTGCGCATTTGAAAAATGGACCACTCAAACATTAGATAAGGCCATCTTGACGTTATCACTGATCTATTCAGATTCCGTAAAAATAAACTGATATATGAATACAGTAGGATATTGGGCGAATTCTTTTTGATCAATAGGATTGAAGCACTAATAAGGACTAGATAAGATTGTATAAATTACACCTTGATGGTGACTCGATTCCACATAATTCAATGTTCGACTACTCAGAATATTACATACAATGAAACTAACAACACAGATGTTAGTCTTAGTTCTGAATAGTTATAATTGTAAAAGTAGGATATATCACCTGTTTTCATCTGAATGATAATCCACCTGACTATTACCATGCATTACATCTTGCTTTGTACGAAGATATATAACTCAACTAACGCTTCACTTTAAGAAGTCCATTTTAACAATATCGAAATAAATTCTTCTTTTTCACATATATATCAATGACCGACAGATGCCGATTGTGTGAAACCTTGATGTGGTGAACTGGTAAACAATTCTATCTTACTTTAAGATAAACAAAAGCCCAACAATAGACCATTTGGTCAATTTACAATATGAGCTGTTTTACGTTGATAAATTTAGTTTGATTTCTAATCAACAACAACAGCAGCAGCGGAATTTTTAAATAACAGACGGACTCGAATACACTCGATACACGGTGAACATATGTGAAACACCTGGTTTATATATATATATATATATATATATATATATATATATATATATATATATATGGCGTTACAGGTGCATTGAAGTAGATAACATATGGTGGCTGAACATGATGTACTTTGAATGATGAATACAAATATAAACGCCGTAGGTGTCACTCGTTTAATGGCATACACATAAGTATAAACATTTAATTATCATTTTTAATATTTGAAAAATAATTGTTTAAATTTACCAAATGAAGACATCGAATTGTTCATTGATTGAATTCTGTCGTGAGTCTATATGAAAAAACGTCATCCAATACTACAGAGCATACGCGAAGGTTCAACTTGTGATTTGATACATATACATTAGATATTTCGGTGTAGTATTAGAAATATTTCAACTATCGGTTAAAAGTTAGGCTATGAATTCAAACCATAATATTCGATTAATCTCACATCAACAACAGTCGAATCTAATTTTTCACAAAATATGATCATTAAAATAGAGCGGCGTTGACTGGTACTGATATCCGATGGAGTAAAATTAGAAATCAAGAAATATTTTACAACTGTTTAATTTGGAACTGAAGATGAGCACTATCAAACAGATGTCAAGTGACACTAAACTTCTAATCATTTATAGCTTCCTTCAAATTATGATCGAAATATGCTTAAAGAAGAAACGACAGTTTAATTTACCTCAAAATAGTTAGACGTACAGTTAGTCTTATTGAATGATAAGTACCATCGTTCTCATGAAAAGAATAAACTTGCTAGTTATGATCATTTGATGATTAATCGTAATTAACCAAACTACACTTCGAAATGTCATCATTCGTTGTCTAGTCGACACTCACAAAGACTGATTAACTCATAAACACCAACAAAATCCTAGCATTCTACTTAAATCAAATGCAAATGTGATTTGTGTTTTATCACTTCCCTCCGTTTACCTCCACGACAAGAGACGGTGGTTCAATCACCGGTGTATTCCTCGTGCACAGAGTTTATCGTCTGTTCATTTATTCCATCTCGATGAGTATCGGTCTGTCCAGGCAATGCACTCTCTTTCTATCTCACTGCCAACTCTTCAATTTCACTATGCTTCGTTAAATTTGTTGTTGTTTTGTGAAGAAGTATACATCTCGGTTTACGAACGATTCTGAGTCTAGTTATAACGACAGTAATGTCTACAGACAATAACATTGTATGCAATCGACATGAAGAAAATCTGGAGTGATTGTAGTATGAACAAGAGATATGTGTATATCACAGACGGATTCGTAATCCTGGTTGTTGTACCAAACACGTTTTGTCTGTGCTAATCTGTAATAATCAACTATGTTATTATGGATTGAGAAGTGTGAATGATCATTGTGTGAAATATTGGCCGGTGCATGTAATCCACTTTCAGGCTCTCATTTGGTAGTAGGTTGTTAGATGGAATAAACGAGTGAGAAATTCCAATAGATTATGGACGATGGTTTCAACAAGCGTTTCTTATATCGCATTAGTCTATCCCATCTCCGTATGTGCAGTGTATCTGTAACATTCTATGTCCGAACACCAGGTGTTTCCAGAGATGTTCACATTTCGGCCTATGCATGGTTCCTTCCAGTCAAATGAGACCGACCTACATCGTGGTTGAACACATGTTCTATATAGAGTCATCTCATTGAAGATTCGGACACTGGCTTCTTGTTCTCACGCCAGTCAGAGTATATGCAGTTATTCACCACGTTGTCAGATATACGCCCCTTTCGCTTCAGTTGAAATCACCTCCACCGTCACCGTCACCACTGCCCCACCACCACCACCACCACCACCACCATTATCATCAACAGCAACAACGACAAAAATGGAATGTTGTATCTTGACATGTTTACCTTGTGTTATGCTGAGTAAGTTATTGTCATGAAAAGTGACGTTAGACATGTGCAATTTAATCTGGTTAGTGTTGAGTGTCATTGAATTGGCTATTTGCATAACTAGAACATGTGCTGAGACGATTGACAATCGTTTCACATTCAATCAGCCATAAATGAAATGAAAGAAGAAGTAATTAGTAAGGTGCCTGTGAGTTTTCGGCTCTCATTCCATTGGAGATTGATATGTTATGGATATGTGGTGAATGTGGTGATATATATTGTTGTAAATAATTAATAATAGTTAACGTGAGTGCTGCATTACTATAAATGGTCACATTTTTGGAAATGACAACAGTTTCCATGTGTTATACCGCTTAACACCGGCCATATGAATTTTGGTCACTGAGCATTATGCTATCCTGTTGAAATCTTGAGCGTGTTGCATATCTGGAGTGCATTTGATGAGAAGTCTACTGAGCAGTTTTCACAATTGTTAGAGATATTATTAAGTCAATACTCTAACCGTGAATTTAGTAATAATTGTTCAATGAATAATGTCAGATTCAACTATTTATAAAATTATATGGACATGGGAAATGCGAGATTTTCAAATTTGAATACAATGAAATTAATAATTAATAGCAATAATGATTATAGAGTAGGACTACAACGAATCCATTGATAATTATGATTTTCTCTGAACGCAAATCTCATGCTTCATTTTGTTAATAGAACAAGTTATTTCAGTTTTAAAGAGTTGAATACGAAGAAATCTTGGGAGGTTTTAATAAATTCTATAGCGAACCTTCAAATCAACATAATTAATCAGCGTATTGATTAGAGATGGTCAATATTTCGGTGTTGATCACCTGGTTTCTCTTCTCACTCTTTCCCTAATCGTATTAATGTTGAAAACAAGAGTTGGCTACTTTCAATGTACCTATTTCCACAATATCAGACGAACTGATATTTTCATATAGCGCAACCATATGGGATGATTTCGTCGGTGTGAATCACAGTTTTCCTGCATAGAACACTCTCTTAATTGTTTAATTGATATGTTTACCAAGACGGAAATTCGATCAACTGTAAATTGCATCTTCATACAAATATATTTCTTTACAAAATAATTTCTAAAATTCTATCTCCAACGTCTTCTTATTTTCTTATCTATGGAGCAGTGTGCATATTTATATCCAGCCAACGTTGTCCTGATGAATTTACGTATTTCCTCAACATATTTATTACTGCACATATCAAAATGTCAAAAGACATAATGGGTGAATAATATTACTTTCCTCGTATAATATAACCGAACGATAGAGTATGATTAGCTAGCCATTCCATGTTTATTTTTCGTAAATGGATTTTTTGGTGGATCTATTACTCCTATTCGTCAGAAGCACTTCGGAGAATGAGATAGAATGACCTAGATCATATTTTACATGAATACTTCTGATGGGTCTTAGCAATTAAATGAATGCAAGATGTGAATTAAGTTAACATTCTCGTCGTAATGGACAAATATATCGTCCATGTATCTATTGTTCAAGTTGTTTTTTAATGATCGAACTTCATTGATCGTTGTTTCGAAGCGTACACATCAAATAATCTACTAATAGTGAACCCAACAAAAGTCCCATTGCTATTCCATATCTTTATGCGTATATTTCTTTATCGGAATTGAATTGTTTTTTGAAGATACAAGCGATATATCTATGTTGCTTAATCAACTAATAAAAGTTTAAAAAGACCTCATCTATGAAATTTATTCAACTCCATACAAAATGTGAATTCATTAATTTATATATTTAGACTGATATACGAAATGGTTAGTGCATATAAAGTAATTAATCTAGTCGCCATGACAACGAATATTTGACTTATATAAGTGTATTTTTTATAAGCCAATGAACTTCTTACATTAAACAGCCAATAGAAAGTAAGCAATAATCGACCGAGTTTTAAAGCAAATTTTGATTGGTTCTAGGTTTCCAATAAATTCGGAAGGTTTGCTATGATGAGTTAAAATATGACACGCACAAGCTGTCGTTCTCCGATGTCTCGTTTGCCTAAGCACCGCAAACACACGAATAGCGTCAAGTTCGATACACCACCAACCGAAATGAAAAGATGTTTGGTCAAACTAAAAAGAATGGTGCCAACTATTGAACGAAATAAGAAAGTTAATCAGCTGGAATTATTGCAACATGTTATTGATTATATACAAGACTTAGAAAAAACCCTTCAATATCCTGAGGATATATTAACATCCGTCAACGTGTCTAAATGTTCGAGTCCTAAAGAAAAGTAAGTCGATTTCCATTTTTTATTATTTGAAAGTATCAATGTTCTCGAAGACTTATTACGCGACAGAAAACTCGACGTAGTCAAAATAATTAAGACAAGTATGTGTTTATATCCAATGTTGGGTTATGAACATATCCAAATTCATTAAAATGTTCCAAGATAATGCTCTTACAAATTAATTTCTAACCGAATTAAACGAACTGTAGGAAAAAAGGATTCCTAATACAATATGTAATAACCTAACAAAATCCTGTTACTGCTACTAGTCCCAATGTTATGACTGAAACGGGAAAAGACTGAGGTTAGATGATGCAGTGAGAAATGCAAGGCTAAATAATGTATCTTTGTATCATACTGATTTGCCATGAGTAACCAAAAAACCACCTGCTTCGGTTTGGGCACCCGAGCAGTATCACAGCCCACACACAAATTTAGTGAATTATGTGGTGCATATGTATCCGGTACCCTTTTCTACCAATATTTGTGTTCAAATAAATCATCAAAAATAATGAGGTGTATATTTTAAACATTCGTCAATAAATGAAGTTGGATGTATTGATTGGCTGTAGTCAACACTACGTCTAATTTAACATATGTATATAACCGGATTTTACAATGCGAAATTTGACCTATTACTTGGTGGTTATGACACGGAAGTTCGGTGTACTGCAGTCGGTTGTCGAGACCTGTTGGACTGGGTCATGCTAATAGATTCTAATTTCCTAGATAGATAACTCAGTGACTGCAAGCAATCCATGATGACATTATTTCTAAAATTTTCATGCACAGATGCATTCACTTACATCTATTTAGTCCACGCTTCCCAGCAGTCCTCCATATCCTTCATCCTGTCTGTAATATTCTTAGTATTAAATCTTTCCCTGTGAGCAACGATTATTCAGTCTTGCTAGTCGTTTTGTTTGTTGCTCATACTTATTTGATATATTTGGATATGCTAACGCATATTTATCTTAGATTCCATTTCCACTGTGTGACTCATTGACTAAGTAGTCGTACTCCACCATGTCATTTTCACGCTGATGACAATTTGAACTCGATTTCTCACCAATTCTAAGTCATTCAAGCACCAAACAGATGTTTTCTAAAGTTTTTACAAGCTGAGTGCTGTTGGCATCTCTTAAGCTTTCCCATTTTGATGTAGTTTCGTACTTATTTTAAATATTTGTCCTGATAAATTTTAATATAGATTTTTATAGGCATATAATAATTACCGTTTATCTTTAAAAATAATTAACTCAGTTATCCAGTTAAATTCCTGTGGGAATGACTGTGGATTCATATTTTCACTTATGCACCAAGATGTTACTAAATTTTTCACTCGTTGTCCATATCTTATGTCGCTTCATTCTTATACATAGTAAAATTGACATGACAAACATCATATAGTAGAAGTAGTTCCGAACGTTCTTCACTAACTAGTAGTAGTCTTAGGTACATTTTCCTTATATACTATTTTATACTGAGGTATATTCAATACAGATGTATCAGCTTTTCCAGCGAAGTACAACATGACTTGTTTACATCATTCCACATATGACGGTCTTGACCATAAAGTCTAAAGCTAGACGTGATCATTCCCGCGATTTGAGCTCATTTACCAATTGTACATTCATGTACTCGCCTTGAAACATTTTGCGTAAGCGTTGCTCAAATCTCTAAGTGTTTCAGGTTTAAACTTGGGACGGTTTGGTTAAAAACAAGTCCCCCTCATTCTGACGGTATGAAGTGGCGTAGAAACATAGCATTTAATGAGTCAGGCTCTTAGCTTTCTAAAGGCTTAGTTCACTTTAAAAGTGTTAACAGCCATCAACTCAACTATAATCGACTGACTTTGCATCGTTTCTCGTATGCCCTATTCCATTCTCTATCAACTTATATGGCTTGTCATTATTATTTGGGTAGTTTTTTACTTGTTATTGGTCGACGTTAAGATATCCATCTTAAAGTAGTATTATATCTATGACACTTTATGATTAACCTAAATATTTTCAACTCTGTCTACCACTTGTTTCTCTCTGATTTTACTGCTTATTTTGGTTTTTTTCAGTCAATCACTTGTGCATCTTTAAAAACACATCTGTTTACAAAGAAAATAAAGAAACGTGGCGAAAAAGCGTCATTTTTCTTTGAAGAGAAAAAGCAGTGATATGTACAGACAAACATTAGCTACTACGAATGAGCATTATTGACATCAATTGTTATAATTTGATTTTCTCTATACATTAGTGTATATACATTTATATTTATTTATAAGTATCCACTCTCACATTGCTTAACCATTTATCTTTTTCTCAAATATTTTATGATTGTACAGAATATTTATTCTAACCAATAAATTATACTTTCCTTGCTCGAATATCAAATCACCTGTGTTCTATGTGTTTGCTTCTCCGTATGGTTAACACATTACTATCACTTTATCGAAGCATTAAAATGAGACATGTGTTTCTTATTTTTAAATAGTGTATTTATGTTTACTTCAACGTCTGTATTTTCGCATATGCTTGGTTAGGCATTTTTTAGTGGTGTTTCTGGTCCAGAATAAATGCGTGAGCAGCTGCTTCTGCAACACCTACCCACCGTTATCACATCACTACATTGTCAGGCTATTATTAAAAATTTGAGCTACATAGTTTATTAACAGATGTGTGTTTGTCATGGATATGCAGCTGCCACTGCTACTACTGCCTTATTGATTAAGTGGACAGGGGGGAGTTCAGCACACGTGCGCTTGTCCATCATCTGCTTACAATTATTATTACGATTGGGGAGGAGAGCGAATAAAAAAATAGAGCAAGCCACCTGTACAGTTAAATGTGTATGGAGATTAAAAACTAAATTTATTACGGCTCAGTTGCTGTATAATTTTACCATTAGTGGTAAAATTAAGAAACTGAGCGAGTAAAATAAGACGTAAAAGACAGTTGGTCTCTAATTCCAACATCTGCCTCATTGATAATTCGAATTCCAGCTTACCGTTTTGATTTTCTATCTTCATTGTGTGTTGGCATCAATTGATTTATCACAACAGATGTGAGTAGTAAGGCTAATTTCCAAAACATGATGTCCTCAGTTTCAATTGGTAAAATGTAACTGAAGTTTGATTCTCTTTTTTTAGTTTCACGCCGGTTTACAGAGTTTGTGGGTTCGTTTAGTTGAATAATATAGACAATTGATAAATACTAGATATTTTTGACGATCAACCAAAGTATAGTGTAGTGTCTCAGAGCGTTTGACTATTTTTATAGAATGAAACATCTAATTTATAACAGTAGATAGGTTCGTCGAAATTTTAGTGCGCCACATAGTATGACTTCGTTATTCGAAGTATTAGCGGGTTTTTTTTCAGTTTCATCTCGATTGCTTTAGTTGTCGATGATCGAGAAAATATTCTTAGTTTGGACGAAATTACTTAGTTCGTTTCGCTCTTCCTAAGACAATCCACAGGATGGACAATATCGCAGTGTCTGGCATGAAGTGCAAGCAAACTTGATTAACATAACACTCCTCATTCTTTTTAAGACAATTTAGTACAGATTTCTCTCTGATTCCTATTATGATAAGTTTTCATCACCACTCTCTGGAGAGTATATGTACATCCGTTAATGATTTGAAGTATCGGCTGCTTACATGGTTGTGGATGTGCACTACTATCAATTATTTGCACTAATATTTATTTATTTGAACACATATTGGTACGAGGGGGCACCAGATATATATGCACCACACAAAACAATGGGAAGAGATAAAGAATGTATGAATAATAAAGACCACAAATTAGTATATGGTAGTGAAATAATAATAGTGATCGGGGAAACAAAGTTACAACCAGAAAGAATTCTTTCAGTTAAAGAATTTACGGTCACTTTTTATGAAGAAGCTAAAAGAAGGTTACAGCAGGATCGCCACTGGCTTCTATTCTGAGCCATATCTGACAAAGTCTCTAGCCACTATGTTGCACCATCTCCCGGACTCCAGCCAGGGTGTCGTGAAGGACCAACAGAAGCCAGCTCTTTACAGCTTTACTTCATACCACAACACCATGTCATACACTGACCACCTCTCCGCTTTTCCCAACCAGTACTAGAGTCGTCAAATAATGCACGACGAGAAATTCTCTGGGACGACATTCATGGAACATGTTCAAGCCACCGAACTCGATGTTTCAAGATGGTGACACCAGTTGAATTATCGTCTCTGCGCCCGAACACACGATGTCTAATCTCTGCATTACTAACATGGTGTTGCCACTGGATGTCAGCAATCCGTCTATTATTTACACTCCTACTGCTTGATCTACTATACAAATCAAGTGTGATATGATAACAATGTTAATAGTTTAATCCAACTTGATTTATCCTCGCATTTAAAATGACGTACGACTAAGCTGCGATTTAGACTCACAAACAAGAAATTGATCAAGTATGTTTAGTGACGACCAATCTCACCAGTTATTTAGGTTTGGTAAATTGTCTTAACTTTGGAATTTAGCATTAGTAACCATCAAATAATTTACTGATATAAGCTGCTGATGTGTCTTGGGTTCGAAGGAAGATTTCGTGCAAGATTCGTATCAATGCATTTTAAATGTTAAATAATGGTGAAGACATTAGTTGGAGAGTTTGTTCAAGCCTTATTAATAACTGCATAACGCGTCGTAATCACTAATTGAAAATGATTTCCTGATATAGTGATATTATAAGATATATTATTATTATTTATTTATTTTAAAACATAGGTATTGGTATACGGAGGCACCAAATACATATGCGCCACACAAATCTCAATTGATTTGTGTGAGGGCTGTGATACTGCTTGGGTGCCCAAACCGAAGCAGGTGGTTTTCTTAGGGGGTCACACCCAGAGCCTTCGACCTGAACGTCTGATCCACAAGGCAGTGGAGCATCGTAAGGAGATGCAGTCCCATGGGAGCCGGTGACCAACGATTGGTTCATACGCCATTTGTTCCCTCAGGATACTGGAGCCCATGTGCACCATTGGTTTGGGGTCCGGTTAAAGCGCCGGACATTCGCTTTTCGTCCTCTCATTTTCGTAAACAACAGTAATGCTCCGAGAAGGCAGTGAGTAGGACTTCCCTGGCAGAGGCTATATATGCATGGCCATGTGAGAGCATTTGGAGAGGGAGAGCGGACTCTCCCCACTCTCGGCCGTACCAGGGCATTTGGGGGCTATTATAAGATATACTAAGTATAATGATCTGAACTGTAAATAAATCCATTCTTTTGAAAAAAATGCGATCATTTTTATGACAACTAAAATATCCATTGTTGATCTAATAAAGCCTCTAGTAAAATACGCTCTCACAAAGGAACCAGGAAGTGCTGGAATTTATTTATAGATTTCTGTTAGTGAAGCAAA